TGTATTATTCAACATCTACATATAATAATATGACTATCAAATGCTGGAGGAAGTGAAGTAGAATAAATTAATATTTCATATTAGGTATTATCTATAGTAGATAAGTCAAGAAGTAGAGATATTATCCAGAGTTATGAAAGTAACTACTAACAGAGATGAAAACTGAAATAGTTGAAGGAGGTTTCCTCTCATGAAAAAGCCTGGGGATGTGAAGTGATAGGGCCCAATCCATCACTTTTCATCATAAACTCCTCTATAGAATCTGGTTTGGTGCATGTTGTAATTTGATAAAAGTGAAGAACTGTAAAAAGGAACATTAATAACACTTCAGCTTGAAACAGGTACTCATATGAAATAGGAAAGTAACATTGTATATATCTAAATGAATTTCAAAAGGGGATAGGTGAACAATCGGTTACAAAAATAATACAGTGGAGGGTTAAAATGTACTCAAAGAGGGCAATATTTAAAGCACTGATGCTTTTAATATCTAATAGTAAATATTGAAACATAGCTCACTCTTGGAAAGTTTTAACTTATTTCTAACCTAGAACTCCAATACTAAAATTTCTGATCATTTCATTCTAAACTTGGTTAAAAAAAAAGACAGAAATGACACGATCTTACATAGAATGATATGGGATATATAGGTTTTATATAGGATGATGTAACAGACAGATATTTGGCAACAGCTCGTTAGTTGCTAGTTATTCTTCCAGCAAGATTTCTTTTAGATAAACAGTCCCAGAAATGCAATGTAGGATGATGGAAAGTATTTATGTTTTAGAGTCTGCAGCTTAATGCTAAACCTAATCTTCTGAGCCATATGAACTTGGGAAATATTTTGTGACTTACTTTTTTCCTCTGAAAAATGAATTTCTTTCAAATCATTTATTGAGCACCTAATATAAAGAAAATGTTATGTTGTATTATTCTCATAGTAACTTTATGGGCTAGAAATTACTTTCCACATGATTTTTCCATTTCTTCTGTGTCTCCTGTGTTATTTTCAGAAATAAATTAGATAATTATAAAAAGTGTCAAGAAGTTTTCCTCCTCTCTTTCCCTTTCCCAGGAATTTTGGAAAAATGCAGATAGTAAAATAGAAAAGACACTGTTTGTTGTCTCTTTTCTTTGGATCGGTAGAGGTACCAGAACAAAAGAGATGGAAATAGAGGAAAAACTTCATACATTTCATAGGATTTAGACGTACTGGAAATGTCCAGACCCCCTGCAGGCTTTTAGCCACAAGATTGCATCACCTATCATAAACTCTAAAGTCGTGTTTTTGTACTGAGTTCACATTTACAGTATTAATAATGCCTTCAACACAAGTCATTTCCAGAGAATTAAGTCCTTGCAGTCAGTGGGTTAAATCCCCATGAAATAACCTGCAGGTGACCCAGTTGCATTGACCTCAAGTACAGAATTTCAGATCAATAGCTGCAGTACTTGGATTCTGAAATATGAAACAATTGCTAGTGTTTTTGTTACCCCAATGGGTGTTATCAGACAGGGAATCACTATGGCAATTGTTGGTTCTTATCATATTAATGCTTGTTTTTGGTCCAAAAAGAAACTACTTAAAAAAGTAAATGCCTTCTGTTCCCTCTTCTTGGAATATGTAATGATGACTTTCAAACATATAATAAAAATTAACAGTATTTCAAATAGCACAAATGATCATTAATTGCTTGTACACGAAAAAACATTTCTTCTTCAGAAGCAAAGCATTCCAGTTGGATGTAAAATTCCTTTTGGTCTATTCACCTTTTCACTCTGTCATGAAAGGGTAACAGAAGATCTCTCAATTTGGGGCCAAATAGAAATCTTAAGCCTTCACAAACTGGGCTTGGGGGTAGTGAAACAGTAAAGGAAAATACAGTTATAGCTACATGAACCACGACAGTGACTGGCATGGAGTTTTGCTAGTGGCTAACCAGAGACCAGACATCACTTCAAGCATTTACACCAACAGAGGGGATGATTTTGATGCAGGGAACTGGTTACCCATGTGATGAAGAAGCTGAGAGCCAAATAAGGAAGCCTGAAGTCACCAAGAAACCAGCCACTGCAGGAAGCCACTACCAGGCTGGACGGACAAAGGGAGGAGGGTCCACATCACCAGATGGAAGATGGAACCAGAATGGGCTGAAGACATGGAGGACATCATGGATCCTCAGGTAGAGAAGCTATCTGAGGCAGATGGGTGGGCAAGGGATAGGGGGTGGAGGATAAACTAAAAAAACTGGATGGTCTTTTCCTTCCCCCTCCCTCTGCCATCTATCACCAGAGACTTCCACTGACTGTAGCAGCAGGAAGCCAGCCCTCAAGAGCACCTCTGCGATACAGTTGGCTAGGGTCAACCTTCCACAGGTACAGAGCAAAGAAGTGATGGATGAAGATGGTCAAAGAAGCCTAGAGCCAGCCTATATGGACATCTCCCCTGCAGACAGACCTCACCGGGCTGGTTCCTTTTCATAAAGAGTGAAGAATTCATGGGCAGGTCTGTTGAGCTTCTCATGGTATAGATTTTACAAGAGGCAGCGAGAGCTATGATAAAGCCCAGCACTTCTCTGGGACTGGATATGGATGTCCTTATATTTTGGGAAAACTTTTTTACTCAGTTAGTGCACCGTGGAGTAAAAGTGCCTCCTCTGGTGTGGTTTTGCCATTTCCAAGGAACTATGTGGCCATTCTGCCATTGCTTAAGGATATTTAAACATGAACTACAACCTCAAGCTGAGTTGAGAATTCAAGAACTAATGTCAAGGTTATGTCAAAAATGCATGGATTAGCAAACATATGTCCCTTTCCAACATCATATTTCTCAGCCATATCAGCCTCTTGGTTAGTCCCTCCATTTGACATATTAAAAATACTACGTACTACATGAGTTAGGTAAGGCAAGCCTGCTGAGGGTGATTCTCCTTGCCTTGAGCAATGAAGGAAAAACTCCCATCTCTTTGCTTCTAGATTACTTTCTCAAACGAAGCTCATCTGGAGAAACACTGTTAGCATTTGTTCAGTATCTTACATCTTTAAAGGACTTTCTAAAGCACTCTCTCGTTCATTTTCTCCATAGCCTATTTGACAGGTGCTGGAAAAAATCCTCTCAATAGCCATCAGTCACAACAGCATGCTGCCTACCTCAATTCTGCTTTGTTAAGTTCTGACCATGCCAATAATTCTGAAATTCTGTCCAGTTTGGAGTCAAGTCTAGGATAGACCAGAGATCGTCCTCCTCTTTATGGAAATTCAAAGGACACAACCTCTCATGGGTTTGAGGGCCTGCTTCCCACATCTCTTAGACTAAGGGAATGGCTTGCCTAATATCTTCAGAATCAGGTTAACTAAAGGAAGCTTAAACGATGGGTATCCTACATCATAGCCCTCAAATCAGCACATGCACAAGTATATTTCCAAATGAGACAATTCTCACTTAAAAGTATGGCGACCACGATGTGAAATTTGTATGAATTCTCTAAACATACATAATCAGAAATATGTACCCAAATGCAAAAGCCCCCAATGTCTTACCAGAACACTGTCTTCGCATTATGAGTGATCTTCCATGCTTGAGTGTTCCAAGATGGAATATCAGAATAAACTGTTAGGGAAATTCATGCTTGTTTATTTTTTCTTTATTCCTCCTTTTAAAAAGAAGTTAAGAGAGTCTGGGAACTATAAAATACTGTTCTTCTTGAGAAGCAGAGGGCTCATGAAATAAAAACTCTGACAGGGAATATGAGCTCCAGCCTCGCTTCAAAACCCATATTTAAAGCACTGCTACTCTATTCAACAACAACAACATCTGAAATTGTGAGCAGGCAGCAAGAGAAAGACCTTGGGAGAATAAGCTCTGCTTTATTCTTCTTGATATCATTTTGCCAGAGCTTTAAACAAGCGTGAAGACTTTTGTGAAATGAAAAACAGAATAAAAGGGCATATTGAGGGGCTGTTTCCAACAGGCTCCCCATATCCCACTCCCCCTAATGGGAACACTGTACACACAGCCATCCAAGATCAGACCTCCTAAGTAGAGCACTTTTTTTTCTTGGAGATTATTCTCATTTGGACTTTAATTAAGCTCCTGCCAGGCTTGCAAGCTTTTTAATTTTACCTTTCTTTCTTCTTTCTTTTTCCTCCTTGAATCAGCTTGCTTGCCAGGAAACTTTTTCCAAGCTGTCACAATCGTAGTAAGTACACCCTAAGACGTTAAATTTAGAGATGTACTAATCGTTGCTGCTCCGAGAATCAATAGCAGAAGTTTCCTTGCATTTGGAAAGATTTTCATTCATTCATTCATTCGTTTTTACGTGTGTGTGCGCACGCGCGTGTGCGTGTGTTATGAATGAGAAAATAATAGAAAGGAAGTTTCAGGGAGTATACAACGACTATTGGCTAGTAAGTGATACAACTCAACCTCCCATAAGGCCACCAGCTTAACAGAAGAAACTTTCCATTACTTAATTTAATATTCACACTGTTTGTACGCAAATTGTAGCCAACTCTTTACTAGTGTTGGTGGGTGTAGGGTGAGCAAGCCTTGAGAAGGTGATGCCTCAGCTGATGATCTAACACCTCTTTAATGAAATGTAATAGTTAATTCACTTCGGTTCTTTTTCAAAATCTCCTTGAACTCAGTTAAACTCACTGTGATTCTGAAAGTATAAAGGTAGGGGCTAGGGAGGCGGAAGGTGGCCCCTGTAAAGCAGATTGCATGAGAAGCTATTTTCATTTGAGGAGGCTTAGTTGAAAACTGGCCACCCTAAACAGGATGCCTTCTTCTTTTTTTCTTAAGTTTTCAAAACACTTAGATAATATTGCAGAAATAAGAATAAGCCATCAAAAACACCAAAACTAAAATGAAAGCTGTGGAGCATTGGGGATATTATCATCACCATGATTGCTATTATCACCATTCTTATTATTTACTTAATAGCAATTCCACACTGCCAGGTTATTGCACCAACCGCTCCTGTCTGTAAGGTACTTACTGATCGCCTCCACAAACCGCTCAAAGAAGCTGTAAGGGAAGAGCGGCTCAGGCAGCTCCCGGAAAAACATCTTCAGTGCTCCGGTGACAACGTGGATGTCCTCCCACTGGCTGTCGTCCAAATTCAGCTTCTCTTCTGGGAAAACACGAGGAGAAATGGAACAACTGGTTTTAATGAAACAATTACAAGACACTAATTATTATGTTAATGTTTGCCTGCTATCATCAGCAACCGTTAACAGCCTTCTGCACCTAGAGGTTTGGTGCTGTGCATGGTTTTTTTTTTTTTTTTTTCCTTTTTTCCGTAGGACGGGAACATTTTCAATGGAATACCATCTGTAGGAGTGCAGCTAACAAAAAACAAGAGACACAAAGAGACAGTGCCATTGACACAGTATGTCAGATACATTTATTCCCATAATGCATCAGTATGAAAATTAGCATCACAGCTCAACATGATTCAAAGCTATTTGGTTTTGAGGCCGAGGGGCTAAGAGTTGCCAATGATGGCCGGCTCAAGGGACCGGCCTAAAGGCCTTGCTGAGCCAACAGGAGACATATGCTAAACATGGCAATAGAAAATGAGTTATTGCTTTACATGTGTTAGCCTTGCTATGTACAAGGGAATAATGGGTAACACTTTTTTCCTTTTTTCACTGAATATAAAGTCAGCAAGGAATAGAATAGTGAGTGAGAAAGGATATTAATTCCTTCTTACTGCTTCAAAAATATCTTTTTTTAGTTTTCATCTCAGCAAGGAAAATGTGCCCAGCAACAATATTAGACAGACCCCTGTTGGCCTACGTAGGCTATGCAAAGCTGTCAAAAATGATAACACACTAAAGACAAACCACAAGTGCTTACCAACTCCTCTTAGAAATAACGGAAATGTTTGCTTGGGAAGCTTGAGTGAGTTGAGACATTTAAATATTAAAGAAAATAAAGGCCACAATAAAGTTCTTAGAAGAAATAAAGAGGCGCTGGGCAATTATTTCCTTCCTTTTCGTCTTCAGTATGAAAGTCTGGAATCATTCTCACCCAAAAAGTGGATGTAATAGGGTCTGAAAGTGACATCTTTGCATACAACTAAAAGGAAGCAGGCATAAAAGCATTGCTGCTGATCCACAGCATTTGTCTTTCTGAACGTACAACACAGAGAAGATTTTGGATTCTGGGCTTAATGAAAACTAAAGCTAGTCATTCTGGACAACCTGGGGGTTAATGGGAAAGCAGAGTATCTTGGCAAGAACTTAATAGGTATTTGGTCAACTAGAATTGTGTTTCCTTACCGATGTCTGAAGCTCACATTCAGATGCTTGCTTGTGTCAGTTTTATGAATGCAGAGGAGAATTGACACCAAAAATGTAAGAAAAGCTGAAAATTGTCACTATAGGGGATCTCTGCATGGGCTGTTCTGCTAATAGTCTTCATGTCCTTTTAAAAATATTAGCCGAAATCTTTATCAGATCTTTTTTTCTAAATGGACTATTACTCCCAGGGCTAGTAAGTTATGTTCCTGCTCAATTGGCTGTTTGCAAAGAGAAGGAATGAAGGTGAATCTGTTTATTTCAGACGGGCTATTTTCTTCTCCCCTTTCAGCCTTCATTCCTACCTCGGCCATAACACAATAATTTGATCCACAACAAAATCAGCAGAGGAGACCTTCTTTCTGCCCTGCAATCATTTTTGATTGATTGTATTTCAACAATTAGTCTTTTATTTGGCTACACACTATTGAAATAGGACGACAGCATCTTAGCAGGCCAGCTTTAAACAGTCAACTGTTAACAATAGCATCAAAAAGGGAGACCTGATGGGGTTTACTGTCACTTTAAAGAACGGGTTTTTCACGTTGTTGAAATCTGTCAGATATTTTGAAATGTCCCTCTCACTATGGTGCCACACCCCCTGCGTGCCCTTATAATAAAATTGGTTTTACTCCTGATTAAATCATTTTCTCCCTACCCACTACCATACTTCTCATAATGGACCTGTGCGTTCTACAGCTGGTGTTCTTCCCATGGTACCAATTCTTACTTTATCTTTTAAGCACTTTGCTGCTAAGATCTCATGCAGAGTGCTTATGTTTTGTTAAGAGCTCCATTCTTAGAGAAATAGCTTAACACATGTTCTAAAAATGTTGTACAACTTATTGCTTAAAGCACATTTAGAAAATGTATAAGTACGGTAGCTTTGGCACTGAACTTTAAGCGGAAACCTAAATAAACACATACACACACACAACACACACACATGTTCACACACACAACTATCTCTACCAAAAATTTATCACAAAAGTCCAATACAAATTGCCGTTTTGGTGCATAGGTTTAAGATCGCCAAATGAAAGTGTTCAGCAGGTAAAAAAAGAGAATGATTTTATCTTGAGCAAGAAAACAATAAGAACAAATAATTGCTTAACTAAAGGCAGATGCCAGTAAACATCAGTTAATTCAATTGACTGTGAAAATGAAATATTTTAATATACATAAAAAGATAATTTACCAGTCAATAAATACCATTTGATTATATCCACTCAAAATGCCATATAACATATCAACTTGTGTTACTTAAACTAGCGTTCCTACTACGTAGTCTTCACTTTAAAAAGATAATTTGTAGCCCCTCAACAAGTAGCTTCAATAAATAATATGGCAAGTGGTTGGAAAGAGTCTTTTGGTATATAATACCTAATTTTTATATTAAGATTTTTTGTGAACAACCAAGGTTAAGATTCCTTGTAAACCAGAGGACTTTAAGGCATATTTTTCAAGGCCACTGTGACTTATTTAAACATGCAGTTGTGTCCATATTTGCACACCTTCTCATGAATCCAATCAGTTCTGAAGATGAAATGAAGATGAAGTGATACGTGTCTCCACGTTAACAGGTATCATTAGGAACACATTTGTATTACCTGATAGGCATTTTCTAACTAATCTGTTGGCAGTGATGATGTCTTCTGCTTCCCCTCTTTTCAATAGAGCAGGATTTCTCAATAGTGAAGCACTGTTGACATTTGGGGCTGAGTAATGCTTTGTTATAGGGTCTGTCCTGTGCATTCTAGGATATTTAGTAGCATCCCCGGCCTCAGCCCACTGGATGCCAGTAGCACTTCCCAGGGCTGCTGATGAAAAATATCTCCAGATATTGCCAAATATCTCCTGGCAGTGAAAAGTTATCCCCAGTTGAGAACCACAACAGTGGAGCCTGTAAGAGTCTATAAAAGTTACTCAATAAATATCGATTTATGAAGTTTACCTTAGGTGGGCAGAGAAACAGAAAACTAGATATGTGATATGTGAATCACATATAGATTCACACTAGATATGTGATATGTGAATACTGTTCATATCTTTAATATGAACCTAAGAGTTGGTAATTATTATTGACAAAATAAAAACCTTTTACAGAACAAAATTCAAAATTCATATGACTATATTTCAGGAAGCTTTGCAACAGGAAGAATAACCAACAGTTATTCAGTGCTTACACCATACTAGGGACTATGCTATGCACTTTCCATTTATTATCTAATATAATTTTTTTTCAGTAAGACAATGAGGTACATGCTATTGTTATCATCACCTATTTTACAGATAGGAAAAATGAGGCATGGGTAGATTAAGTAACTTTTCCATGGATGACAAGTAATAAACCCAGGATGTAAGCCTCCCCTCAAAACCACTATGGTCAGACTAATCTTGGCTGGAAGAAGCTGAAAGGATAAAGGCAAATAAATAGCAATTGCCAGTGGTAGTAGATTGACTATTACTTCAAAGATAGTGATTTTTATATTTTATCCCTAAATATCTTACTTGAGGCTACGCTTTTACCTGTAAACTTACTCTGATCTTTCATAATTACTGATTTATAGAAGGAACAGATTCTTATATAAACAGATATAAAGCGAATTGGCAATAAAAAGAAACTGCATTAGGAATGGGACAGAAGATGTAGCAAATTGTTATGTGGTGATGGAGTGAAGAGGAAATATGATAGGGTGAGAAAGAGATTATACAAAACACCAGGTCTGGATTTACCACTAATTCACTGTATATCTATTTATTTATTTGTGAAATGAAGACATTCAGAAGGATAGTTGTTGGTATCAAATGAGAAAATGTGTCTGAAAAACATTTGGAGAGTAAAAAAAAAAAAAAAAAATATATATATATATATATATATATATCTCCAAGACACCAACATGATGAGGAAAGTGAATAAAGGCCAAAAAGGCAAAATACATTAGGGATTAAAGCAATGGAAATACTGCGCAAACATCATAAACCATTCTGGTTGTTTTAGAGGATTTACCTCAGTGGGATGCAATCTATCATATGAACTCAACAAAAACTTTACATGCTGGAGTTCAATACTGGGAAGAAGTCTGGTTGAATCAAGATATCTCACAATTATCATGCTGATAATCTGTGCTGGTCTCTCCTGGCCCTCTACTTAGGCTACCGTAAATTCATTTTGGTCATGGCTTTTCGCTTAAAGCATTTAAACAGAATTGAAGATAGGTTAACCTCCAGAATTCAAAGTCACTATGTGACTTTTATGATATCACAAAAAATATACTTAAATATTGTATCCAAGCATTCAAGTCCATCTTGAGATGTCCTTCCTTGAAGGGACTTTTGTGTATTTTATTTTTTAAATAAAAACTTACCTATATCCAGCTAAAAACTATAATATTTAAAATTTAAAAATTTTGGCAATAGCTATTAGGAATAATCTTTTTTAAAAAGGAGAACTGAAGGATGGACCTTTTGATAGCCACAGTAGGTCATGGTAATTTCCATGGAAAAAGGCACATTTAAATATCACTAATAGCTTAATCAACACTTTCCTCTTGTATTATATATTGCTCTATAGACTGGTGTAACCAGAAGTTGCAATGTCAAGACTGACTTTAACTAAACTCACTGTGTTAACCTAGTATTGGTTGAAATGCAGCTGAAGATAAACTTGGACTATCCAGAATAGAATAGTTATATAAGAATAAAGAGGCACTTCTTTGTGTATTGAAAAACAAGTACATTTTTACCTTGTAGTTTTTAAAGCCCTTTACTAACTTTTATTTTACTGTTGTAATAAAAAAATAAAGAGGAAAAGACAGCCCAACTTTCA